GTACACTTGCTTGACTCAGGGTTGCCAGAAACCTTCAATTTGTAAAAAAGACTAAATAAAAGCAAAACACAGTAAAACCAGGTGTGCCTGTATACTGTTAAATTTGAAGAGAGTTTCTTGTAGACAATGTAGAGTTCAGTCATGTTTTTTGAATCCACTCTACCAATATCTGTCTTTTAACTGGTGTGTTTAGACTGTTACATTTCTTGTGATTATTTATTAGTTCTTCTTCTGTTTGTTCTTTCTGTTTTTCATTTCTTTGTTTTGTTTTACCTAACTTCCTGTGGATTACTTGAGTATGTTTTAGAATTTCATTTTGACTTAACTGTGGTGTCTCATTTACTTATTTATTTAGGTTGCGCTGGGTCTTAGCTGTGGCACGCAGGATCTTTGTTTTGGCATGCAGGCTTTTAGTTGCAGCACGTGGGAATCTAGTTCCCTGACCAGGGATCGAACCCAGGCCTCCTGCATTGGGAGTGCAGAGTACCCAACCACTGGACCACCAGGGAAGTCCCATATCTGTGGTGTTTTGAGTGCTTCTCTCTGTGTAGCTTTTTAAGTGGTTGGTCTAGCTATTATCTTATATGTACATGGCTTTTCTTAGTCTGTGGTGTCAGCATTTACCAGTTTCAGTGACATGTAGAAACCTTTTCTCCCTTTATGTCCCTTTACCCTCCTCCCTTTCTGTTATAATTGAGGTTATACATTGAGAAGCACATTAGCATTATAATTTTTGCTTTAACTGCCACACATAATTTAGCAAACACAAGAGGAGAAGGAAAGTAATTGTAATTTCCATATTTTTGCTCTTGTTCTTCCTTCCTGATGTTCCAGGATTCCTTCTTTTATCATTTCCTTTCTGTTTAGAGAACTTTCTTTAGCCAGTCTTTTAGAGTAGATATGTTGGTGACAAATTCTGTTAGTTTTTGTTCATCTGAGAATGTCTAGATTTGCTCCTGATTTTTGAAGGAAACTTTGCTGAATATAGAATTCTGAGTGGGCGGTTCTTGCAACACTTGAAAATATGCAAGTTCCTTTTGGGCTACCTGATTTCTGATGAGAAATTTGCTGGAGGCATTCAGAATTTTTTCTTTGCTCTTTAGTTTTTGGATTTTTTTGGGTTTATCCTCTTTGGAGTTTATTCAACCTTAAATTTATAGGTTTATTAATTTTTATTGCCAAATTTGCCAATTTTTTTTTTTCTTCTCACCACGCAGCTTGCAGGATCTTAGTTCCCCAACCAGGGATCGAACCCAGGTCCCCTGCAGTGGAAGCGTGGAGTACTAACCACTGGGCCACCAGGGAATTCCCAAATTTGACAGATTTTTAATCATAATTTCTTTGGATGCTTTTCCAGCCCTACCTCCTTTCTCCTCCCATCTGGGACTCAGAATACATGAATATTAGATCTGCTGTTGTCCAGCCCACGTGTCCCTGAAGCCCTGTTCATTTGTTTCTCAGTCTGTTTTCTCTTTGTCGTTCAGGTTGGGTTATTTCTGTTGCTGTCTTCAAGTTCATTGACTCTCTCCCCTGTTGTTTTCTGCTGCTGAGCGCATCCATTGACATTTTTATTTCAGGTATTGTGTTTTCTGGTTCTAACATTTCTGTGGGTTTTGTCTTTATATCTTTAATCTTTGCTGTGCCTTTGTGCTCCTTTGCTGACTTCCTTTTATTTTTCATTTGTTTCAGGTGCGTTTGTAGTTGCTCACTGAAGCATTTTATGATGGCTCCTAAAATCTTGTTTGGTAATTCTGTTATCTGTGTCATCTCAGTGTTGCTATCTATTGATCATCTTTTCTCATTCCACTTGAGATATTCCTGGTTCTTGCTATGGTGAGAGGGTTTTTTTTTTTTAATTGAAACCTGGACATTTTGGGTATTATATTATGAGATTCCAGATCTTATTTAAATCTTATGCTTTGGCAAGTCATTTCTGATATTGCTCCAGCAGGGGAAGGGGGATACCCTTTGTTAATGCCAGTTTGGGGCTGAAGTTCAGGTTTTCCTCTGGCCTTTGTTGACACTCATTTAGGGAGGGGCTCCATGTTGCTGCTGAGTGTGGGCGGGGGATCAGACCCCTGACTAGGCCTCTGCAGCTACCGTCTGCCGGGAGGGTGAGGGGTGGAAGTGCTGACTTTCCACTGGGCCTCCTCTGGCAGGACCCTGGCGTGGAGGCAGAGGGGTGGGATGAGTCCTGGCTCCCGTGTGGTGTCTACACTGCACGTGGGGGGTTTGTTTTTCTGTTGTGTTTGACTGGAGTTGGGCAGTTGTATGTTTTCACTGCCCCTTTCACCTCCTTTGGCTGGAGACAGCAGGCTTTTGGGGACTGTGTTTGTTTGTTCCCACTGGTGTTTCTGGGTTGTTGGCTTACCTGGCAGCCAGTGTAGGACACATGAAACAAACGAAAACCTGGAAGTCACCAGCGTGTTGTTCCTTGGGTCCTGAGGTCCCTATCCAGTCTGCTGCTTTCTCTTCACCTCTGAGCATTTTTATGTTTCTTTCAAATATAAAGTCCAGGTATTCTAGCTGTGCTTAGTGAGAGGAGTAAAGTATGTTTACTCCATCTTTCCAGAAGCAGAAGTCCAAATTTAATTAATTTTGAATAGGTGATACATTCATGTGACATATAAATTAAATGCTGTAAAAAGATGTACAGTGAAAATTAACTCTCTACCACCCACTTCCCCTCTTAGATGGCAGCTACTGTTTCTGGTTTCCTCCTTCCTGAGGTAACTCTACGTGTACCGGTGAATATACACAGGTGTGTTTTTACCTCAGTGGCGGCATATACCACGGACACCGTTTTGCACCTAGCTTTTTTTCTCCTGACGCTCCATCTTTGAGAACGTTATGGGTCACTTCGTGAACTCCTGCATTGCTTTTCGTGGCCTCATGATATTCCATTGCATGGAGATGCCACATGTTTGTGAGCAGTTGGAATGTTTAGGTGCTGATCCTGTTATCTGTTATATTTGTTGTCCTTTCCATCTTAATGTTCTCTGCACACTTGTTGTCTTTGTTTACACCTGAGTCAGGGTCCTGTAGGAAGCTGTGGTGTGCTGGAGAAAGCTGCGGGTGATTTAGATCTGTGTCTTACGATGAGTCATGTGTATACTCCGTGAATACTCAGAGATGCTCACTGATAGCTACTCTTTACACACATTTCTCCATCATGTTCACAAGGACTCTTTGGACCACATCTTGCTTTTCATAGGTATGAACAAAAGATTTTGAATATAAGCTCTATAAAGCTTTACTCTCTTTCATGGCTGTAGTTGCTTCCGTGTAATAGTTAAAAGAAGCACGCTTTATGGTTTGTTGCTGCTGCTGCTGCTAAAGGCCACTAAAACATAGATCTCCTGTGATTTGGGGTCAGAGTACTTACATCTCCCTTTTGGGAGGGATAAGATTTACTTTGTTGTCAGGTGAATTTTTGAGCATGGTGACTTCATTCTCACTAAGGTTAGCATTGTTTTCTTTAAGGTGGTGAGTTTTCTCTTGGTTAGATATATTGCCCTCAAATTTTTGGCAAACTTGAATGAAGTCATGAATTGAAGAATCTTTTTGTTGTTGTCTCTTTATAGTCTTTTAAGTTGACTTGGCAGTTTAATTCTAAATTCGTGCATAGTTAAGTTTGGTCTTGCCCAGAGGGTGGAATCTGGCACTGCCACACTGCGAGGAGTTTTGAGGTCTGCTGCAAGCCCTCTCTCCAGGGGCCCTTGAAGTGCTAACTGGCACGTCGGATGATTCTGTGTCAGTGCGCCACTGGATGGCATGGTCGGTGTTCAGAGATGGGTTGTGTTTGTTTCCACAGGTTGCCTTAGTAAGTGTTGTCCCTCCAGACTTTTCTGGCCCCATTCTTAGCCTCATGGCCCTGACGGGCTCACTGCTTCTGACCTGGATGCTTTCTCTAGGCTCAGCCCCCAGCATTTCCTGCAGAAATTCTGTCCTTTAGATTTGTGCCACCTTTCGTAACTTGAAAGCTTTGAGACTAAATGTGGCAATGAGTTGGAGTGAGAAAAGGAGATGGGCAAAGTGATTTCTGTCCTTTTTTTTTTTCCATCTCTTCAGCCTGTTACTTAAAGATAGCTTTCTGAGAAAAAGGATTAAAATTCACCCCCGTTACTTAAAGATAGCTTTCTTCATTTGTAATAAATTGGGGATTTCATATAATCTACCTTTAAAAATAATTGTATTTGTTTACTAATTTGTTTTGGAATAAATTTGATGGAGTCGTTTTTAGGAACTCAGAGTTTAACCAGGGGTTAGGAGTTTAAATGGAAAATTGAATCTTTGTGAAGCTTTCCACATTTCATTAGATGTTAATTCCGGAGTTAAGTTTTATATGATTATTTACTACTAAGTATATTCCTAAGTATCAAGGTTAAGCTCTTATTAAAGTAATGTTTCAAAAAAGCCATTAATATTTTTACATAATACAGTTGTTTGATTATTGTACTTTTCTTTTGTCAGATACTAGTCAGCAGCCTCTTAGTTTTTCTTTTAATGGGAAATAAGTTTTTTTTTTTTTTTTGTAACAAGACTAAAAATGTGTTTTAAATCTGACAGAGTTTCATGAAAATGACATGAGGCATTTTTCAGTTTACTCTTTTCTTCTGTATTATATTTTAAATTTTGTTTCCTATTTTGTATTTTAAAATTTAGAACCTATTTGATACTCCATGGGCATTTCACTTACTATCTTGAGGAATTTTTTTCAGATGAAACTGAGAAATTTAGTAATGTAGCTTTTGTCAGCATTAAAAGCAGACCAGCTGAGTTCTTTTGTGCCATGCTGAAAATAATGCTGGAACACGATAACTTGTTTCTGTATTACTTTATGTACTCATTGGTAGAGTCTTTTCTATGAACACACTCGATCCCAAATAAAACCGTAACATTGCAAATTTACTTGTCCATACATAGGGGTTTTATCATCCTCTCTTGATCATTGAAATGAATGAGTATGGTGATGGACTCTTTGTGCTGTTTTTCCTAAGGTATTGCCATCAGAGAGTCTGCAAAGGTGGTCGACCAAGCCCAGAGGAGGGTGTTGAGGGGTGTCGACGACCTGGACTTCTTCATAGGGGATGAAGCCATAGATAAACCCACGTACGCCACAAAGGTAAACGCCTGCTGGGATTCGCTTCTGCAAATGCACAGCCAAGAGCAGAGCAGCAGGATGAGTGATGCAAAGTGGCGCTTTATGTAGAAACTGTACTTGTGAGTTGTAGAATATATTTTATTCTTATGTTTGAAAAGAGGCTTTGTTGTTGTTTTTGATGAGGGTATTTTTGATGTGGGGAATTAAGTGAATTTACAAATACAGAGTTGACTCAGGGACCGCTGGGTTATGTGGAAAGCAAGGTCTGCTCCTGTGGAAACCTGCAGGTTGACTAATTAACCTGTCATATGTGGAGAGTTGCAGATTGATCAGTTAAAAAGAAGCACTAAAGTTATTTAACTAGACATTTGTTCTAAAAAAAACACTCCCCAAACTCCAGATCGAATGGTATTGTAGATTAGCTCTGCTTTTCCATCTGTTACCCCATTGTTAAGACGATTCTTTGTGCTTAGAAATGGGTGGAGTAGAATATAAACAGTAATGTCATGGAATCTTTCTGGAAAAGTGCCTGTTGTTTCTTTATATAAATTAACACTCACTCCATGCAGAGGAACACTGTTCAACAACTCGCTGTCTTCCGTCTCTTCCGGGCCGGTGCTGTTGTTAAACTGTTACTCTTACTGATGTGAACTGAAGCCTGATGTAGTTCGGTTTCTCTTGCCTTAGTGGCCAATAAGACACGGAATAATTGAAGACTGGGATCTAATGGAAAGGTTCATGGAACAAGTGATTTTTAAATATCTTCGAGCTGAGCCTGAGGATCATTATTTTTTAATGGTGAGTAACTGGACCTAAGAAGAGTATATCCCTGTCAGTTCCAAGTTGTGTAGATTTTAAACCCAAGGTGTTCTTCCCTGGGGAGTTTTTAATGCCTGCTAAAGCTGTTTGTATGAATGGGGGTGCTTTATGGGCAAATAACAGAAAGCTCAACAAAAATGCCTGAAAGCCAAAAGGGGCTTATTATCTCATGAAACAAAAAGGCCAGAGTCAGGCTGCTCCAGGGCTCGTTATTTCAGCAGCTCAGGGACAGAGGCAAGGACCAGCCTAATTCGTAGTTTGGCCTCTTGTGTTGGTTCCCCTCAAGGCCCAGGATGGCTGCCCAAGTTCCTTTACCACCTCTTGGTGTATTTGCTGTCAGAGGTAGAAGCACTTTTTAGGAATTAAGAATCCCTTTCCTAGAAACCTTCTCAGCAGATTTACCCCATCCGTCCATGCCTAGCCTGGTCCCGTACAGGGGAATGGAATTACCTTGACAGGATTAGATTGATCAAGATTCTCTCCCTTGGGCTGCTTAGGGGACGGTGTCTGATCACCTGGCCCCAAGAGGGTAGGGACCTAAACAGGCCTCTAACAACAAGGAGGGTGGAGGGAGGGATGGATTTGGGTAGGAAACCAACTGTGCACTTGGATGTCCTCGAGAAGTAACTGGATGACTCTGATTTTTGCTTCTTTTATAGCAGAGGAAACTGAGTCAAGGTGTTATTTTGCCAGGGTTCAGATCGCACTCTAAAATAAAATTGAGCTGAGTTACGGGCCCTGATATTGTGGTACTTAATTGATCTTGTTCAAACAAAATAAAGCATTACAGAGGAATGAAAAGAAATATCTCTTGGTTATGGAATCTGTTCTGATTGTTCGACTCAACTTCACGTTTCCTTCCATGAAATGTTCTTTTTAAGCTAAAATTAATTACATGTACAGAACACTTGCTTTGTGGAAAGCAATTGCACGTAGCATAAGCTGCACATTACAACCTACATAATTTAGCTTTGGATTTTTTCCATGCAAGTATATTGTCAAAAGGTCCCTGATCCCCAATTACATAGTTCTTTCTAATGTTAAATATGGAGTGTTCTTTAGAATTATCTGGCTTAAAATATGTTAACTACAAGGCTATTATGGTAGTTAGTGGAATCTGTATATTTAAAATCTACTACAACAAGTCCTTGAAAGTGCCTTGATCTTTTTTTCTGGCTGTATCGCCATAACTAGGAATTGCCAAGCGTGAATACTGTGTTTTACAGGCCTCCATGTGTTTTCTCTCCTGTGCGTCTACAGTGGTTTATGTAAAATACATGGAGCCAGGAAACTGACAGTGTGTCTGAGTGGCTTTGTCTTTAAAGCCTCAGTAGATCACAGATTCCTACCTGTCCCATTTGGCGTCTTTCCATCTCGCGCGCATTGCGTAGCAGCCTGTTGGACAGGACGTCAGGAGCGCGTGCCGCCCAGCAGCTTCCTTCTGTCTGCCTCAGCTTCCCGTGCCAGGTGGTCCCCTCTCACTCCACTCAGAGGGACGCTTAGTCCTAGCCTGTGGAGCAGACACACACCACCAGGACACAGCCCACAGGAATTGTTTCCTACGAGAAATTATTTTCTGCTTTAGCTGGCATTATAGGCTAGTAAGATAAAACCACTTTCTCGGAAGGAATTGGAGGTGTTTGGTGTGAATATGGAAAAGTCCATTTGCCAAAAATGAGTACCTGTAATGAATATTCAGAAATAATCAAGTTTATTGAATTAAACAGAGAAAATATTGTGTTCTGTGTATTGTGCTTTGAATTTTGCAAGGTCAGTTCATTGCATGATGTGATTGAGGAAGTAATGAGAATGGTACGTTGCTTTCAGGTTTATGCCCTTAGTCGTCAGTTAATGGAATAGTTCAAGGGGAGTAAAGCAGGTATAGAGATTTATGGCCAAGTCTAGAAGTCAGTTGAAGACATTTACTGAACTGCTATATCAGATAATGCTTTTTGGTATAAGAGAGTCTAAAGGGGTTAAATTAAAGGTCTCTCAGTAGCCCCCCAAATTGTTCTTTCTGACTGCGGTGACCAGATGCCTGAGCGTATAGGTGAGAATGAGCTCATTACGGCTGACGTTTTTCCAGACGTTTCAGAGACTCGGCTGTATCGGTCATGTGGATTGAGCAGATAGCAAATGGGAATCCTACTCTTTTCTCCAAGACTGAAGTGCCCAGAGTTCAAAACAGAAGCATATATTTTAAAGAATTGCAGTGCTCTTGAGTGGAAATCGAGTTACAACTTTAGAGGAGATTGGCAGACTTTTTGAAAATGAATCAAGGAGGAAGAGCAAGCAGCACGTGCTGATCAAGAATGTCTGAGAGCCAGGAGCCGGAAAGATGGACATCCCAGCTGTGAGAGAGAGAGAGAGAGACAGAGCAGAGAGAGAGACAGAGACAGACAGAGAGAGATGCCCTTCCTCCGTCTTTTGTTCCATTCGGGTCCTCAGTGGCTCAGATGACACCCACCCATATTGGTGAAGGCGTGTCTCTGTTCTCAGTCCGCTGGATGCTAATCTCTTACAGAGACACGCTCACAGACACACCCAGAAATTATGTTTTACCAGCTCTCGGGGTGTCCCTTAGCCTAGCCAAGCTGACCATGACATGTGGTAAGTCCTGACTCGCCGTAATAGTTGCCTTTCTGGCTCTTAAGAATGAAGTAGACCCGCTGTGTCCAGTACGGAAGCCACCAGCCAGTGCGAAGGTTGACAGCCCTGGGTATGCTAAGTCCGTCACCCCTGGCCCACGTGCTTCCCACCTTACAGTACCTTGTCATCTCCTCTCCTGGTCTCCCTCCCTTCAGGGTTTATATTTTTAAAAAGGTTTCTTTACTGCAATTATAGAGAGGCTTGAGGGTGGAACAGTATTAGGTACATGTGTTCAGTTTGCTGTCTTTATCCAGAAATATGGATTGGTTTTATGGAACGGATTAATTCTTTATTTTTGAATTCATACCAGATGATGTTTCACCATTATTATGAATAAATTTGTTTGTGTAACTTGCATTCATGTGATGTTTTAATCATATGCTTCAGTATTAAAAATAAATAAGAAAAACTTGATATCTCCTATTTAGATCTTGTAAATAATGGTTTGGGGAAAGTTTTATTTAAATTGGTCTCCTAAAGGAACAGTTACTGGTGGTAAACATAAAAGAAATGGAGGATTGAGGAAAAAAATGGGTTTATGATTATGATTCTCAGAACCCCTAAGAATATGCCTTTAATAATGCTGAATTTGATTCAGGAGCCAGGAGAACCTAATTACATTGTAAACATTCCCTTAAATAGAAGTATGTAGATTTTAATGTAAATTCTTCACAGATGGTGAATCGTTTGGCAGCAAGTAATTAAATATTGGTTTTAGCAAGTTCAGGATTTTATTTTCCTTACATACATTTGTAGTAGGGAGGGCGCTGCTGGTAGGGCAGCATCCTGGTGTCATTAGCGGTCTCTGTGCTCTAGTATCTCTAGCGTCTGGCTTTCATTCCACGGTTACCTGGTGACCCCACGCTGGCTCCTGCAGCTCCATCATCACCTCTGCATTCCAGGAAAGAAGGCATTAAGAGCAAGCAGAAGGGAGTCTACTGCTTGAGTCTGCCTTCACCCCTGTAAGCAACTTTCCTAGGAGCCACATTCATCAGCTTTTGCTTCTTATTGGCCAGAACTTACTCACTTAGCCACCCCTGTCCATGAGGAAGTCTGGGAAATGCTTCTCCTCTGGGCCTGTGATTGAACAGTGGTCTGCCATTAAGGCAGAAGGGAGAATAGGTACAGGGTAGGCAAGTTGCAGTGCCTTCCATAAAGATGTGACTACAGGTGTGAAGACAGTGGCAAGACGAGAATTCATTCAACTGTCTTCACAACTCTGGCTGGATGTGGCGCGTGTCATCCCCATCGGCAGCCAGAAGGCCAGGAAAGCCATGTCGGGATGCTGCTGCTTCTGCTCTGTGTTGCCGTCTTGCCTCTGTGAGTTTCTTCGTCTGGATAAATAGATCAGGAAGTTGTATTGGGAGTTTCTGTGGTCTTTACACACAGGCTGTAACCCAGGGTTTCACAACTCTTGTAAAGATTTTTTTTTTTTTTTTTTTTTGGGGTGGGCGGGCCTCTCACTGTTGTGGCCTCTCCCGTTGCGGAGCACAGGCTCCGGACGCGCAGGCTCAGCGGCCATGGCTCACGGGCCCAGCCGCTCCGCAGCACGTGGGATCTTCGCGGACCGGGGCACAAACCTGTGTCCCCTGCATCGGCAGGCGGACTCTCAACCACTGCGCCACCAGGGAAGCCCAAAGATTTTTTTTATTATAGAACTGTAAGTGTGATTTAGAAAATTTGAAAGATATCTGTGGGGCTTTTTACGTCCATTAACATAAATATTAACGTTCAGTATATCTTCATTTAATCTTTTCACCCATGTTTTTGTATGGCTTTTGCACATTCAATGTTGTGTCCTCTGTCCCTCTTCCCCCAGTTTCTTACGCTCTTCATAATCCTCATTTTAATGGCTATACAGTCCTCTATCCAGTGAATATTTCCTGTTTAGCAGTTTCACTATTTTTAGATGTTTACTTTTGTTTCCAATTTCTTGGTTTTCTAAGAAGTAATATGAAGTCATCTTTGCACAGTGTTTTCTATATTAGCATTTTTTATATTAAAAGTATAAAAATTATATGTAATTTTGGGGTACAGAAGTATTCATAAGTTTGAATCTTTAGCATACCATTTCACGCTGAAATCTTCAGTGTACTAGAGGCCACATTATTAGAACTCTTGTCAGCATTGATTAATATTTTTGATTATTTGTTGTCAACTTGCATTTTTAATAACTTTGACCTTAAACATTTTTTCATGTGTTTATCAGCTGTATTTTCTCTTTCATGAATTGCCTATTCATGTCCTGTGTTTTGTGTATATCAGTGTTTTATTGCTTTTCCTATTGCTGTGATTTCTATGATCTTTTTTTTTACCTAAAAGTTTCTTTT